GCCTGTAGCTGGTGCCCACGGCCCTCTGCTCACTGGGCCCTCGCAGGCTGGAGGAGCCGTAGCTACAGACATGAGCACTGCCTACGGGGCCCGGCAAGGGCAGTGGCCCGGCCAGGGAGCGGGCCCAGAACGAGGCACAATCCACCCTTTGTTCCTGCGGCTGCTGGAGCCTGCGGGCCAAGAGGAAATGAGGGAGAGCCAGCCAGCAGCCCTCACCCGCCCGGCAGCCCTGGCGGCCAGAGGCTGGCGGACGCCAGGGCAGGGCCCAGCGGAGGGTTGGAGGGGCTGCTCCAGGGAGGGGCCGGCTGCCCGCCTCGCCACCCTCCGGCCCAGCACAGAGGGGCGTCTGCGAGGGGCCTGGGAGTCCCGGGCCGCGGCCTCCTGTGCCCCGACTGGGCAGCCGGCTCTGTGCACCCCAGCCCTCTCCCCTGCCCGCCCCCTCCGCTCCCAGGCACTGGCGGCCGGGCTGGCTGAGGGTGGCGGAGGCAGCGCGCCCTCGGACGCGAGCGAAGGGGTCCGCCGTCCGTCCTGTGGCAGGCTGGGCTTGCTGCCTTGCCCGTGGGGAGGGGGCACCTGGGAGGGCCAGCGCCCTGCCCCGTCTCACCCAGGGACAGTACGAGGCCTCGGATGGGAGTGTGTGCACACGTGTGATGCGTGGCTGTGTGTGTGTGTGCACACGTGGGCATGAGTACTAGTGGAGGGGGCGGGTGTGTGGGGCTCGAGACCCCTTGCATCCCTTCCCCTCCTCAAACTGCATGCACCCCTGCTGGAGCCTCGTTCGGGAGGCTGCTGGTGGGGTCTCCCTTGGGGTCTCAGGGGAGCTGTGAGGAGGCCCGAGGCCACCCTATCTGTCTCGGGGTGCGTGGCAGCGTTTGCCTGAACCTGTGTAGAGGCTGAAAGTGACCCCCACGCCCCTTTGTGGCGCCATGATCCTTCTCTCCCCCGGGAAGAGCTGACTCTGCCCAGCCGGGCCCACCTTTGATCTTCACAGGCCGCAGTCCCCATCAGGGCTGGGCAGCCCAGCAAGCTGGCCCCAAGGGGGCCTTATCAGGTGCCACCGGGAACCCGAGCCCTGGCCTGCGGCCCCTCACCAGGGGCACGGCAGCGTTCGGGTCGCCAGGGAGCGGGTCCTGGGGGCAAACCCCACGGCCACCGTGCCCACCCTCAGGGTCTGGGTGCGGGCCCTCTGGGAAGCCTGGGGTCTGAAGGCCGCCCAGAAGTGGCAAAGGCTCTGGGGAGCGAGAGGGCCTGTCCCAGGGCAGAGCAGGCGGATCGCCGTATCCCCAAGGTCCAGGCTCAGCCAGGGGGTCCCGGACGAGCTGGTTCCCTAACTGGGTGGCACCGCTGTCAGGGGTGCCTGGACGCCCACCTCGGGGAGGGCGGGTGGCAGCCGGCCTGCAGTTCTCACCCAATAGCAGACTTGAGCCCACTCCTGTGGGCCACGTGTCGACGTGCGTGGACACGCACGTGTGTAAGGACCCTGCCAACTGCCACGCACCAGGGTCTGCGCACACCCACCCAAACAGCCCCGTGGCCTTGGGCTGAGGTGGCGACCGCTGCTTGGAAGGCTGGGGCCTCAAACAACGCGGCCTGCCTTCCCCACGCCTGAGAAGGGGCCCCGCCTCTGGTTTCAGGGCGGCCGGGCCAGTCTGGCCTCACCCTGGCTCTCCCAACTGCTGGGTCCCCCAGACTTTCCCCCAGCCTCCTGCTGGCCACAGGGAGCTCGCCCAGATGGAGGGGGGGTCCCAGGGCTGGGGTCCTGGCGCACGGCAGACGCTTCCGTCTTGAGGCCGGGGGGGGGGGGGGGGGGGGGGGGTGTGGGCAGCCCGAGCTGTGACATGGCAGCTGGAGCTATGGCACCAAGTGCTCCCGAGGCAAGGCTGACCTACTGTGGCCTTCAGGCCCTGTTGAGCCCCTGGTGCCCAGTGCTTATCCAGGAGTCTGTCAGAGCTGAGTCGAATGCCAGCCCGACCCCCTAACCCGATGAGGTCTCCCCTGGCAATGTCCCCTTCCGCTGATGGGCCTGGAAGGTCAGGCGGACTGCAGACTCAGGACCCAGGAGCACGTCCTCCAATTCAGGGGACCCTCCCCCCCCGCCCTGCTGCCGATCATCCCACAGCAGGTCTGGCTCTGTTCTCTCCCCACGGACTCGGTGAGGCAGGGGAGTGGCACATGTCCCTCTGGTGGGGCCGCACTGTGTACAGGACTACACTTTCACGTGACAGGTGAACAATTTTGCCAAGGGGTGGCCTTGGCGTTGGTGAAGCATGCGACTCTTGATCTTGGGGTCGAACCCCACGTTGAGTGTAGAGGTTACTTAAAAAAAATAATAAAATCCGTAAAAAAATATTGCCAAGAAGGCGTGTACCAAGGAAGCCGGGATGGTGAGCAGGTGACAGTCTGCCTCTGCAGAGACGCTGTCCCCGGGGGTCACCTGGAGTCAAGTGTGCTGGCATGTAGCCCCAGGACCCTCTGGGCCCGGAGGGGGGCTGCCGCTGGGTCTGGCAAGGAGTCCTCAGCGCAGGTAGGGTGTCCAAAAGTCACACGCCTCCCCCAGTGCTCACCTCCAGAGGCCGACCGACCGTGGTTTGTTCGTGTCCTTCTGGGAGGTGGGCGGGGCAGCAGCCTGGGGATGCGGTCCGTGCGGCAGGGACCCACCTCTGCACCCCTGCAGCCGCAGCACCAGGGACCCCGGTGGCCTGCACGCATGCTCAGGGGTGCTCCGTCCACAGCTGGTGGGGGGCTCTGTCTTCTAGACACGTTTGCACCGGGGCCTGGGGCTCTGCATCCAGGTGGGTGGGAACAGACGCCCCCCAGCGGGGTGTCAGGGCAGCGGGCCGGGGCTCTCAGTCCTCCCTTGGGACCGAGGTTCCTAAAGGGAACGTTGGTGAGGACAGCCCTGCCGGGGATCAGGAAGGGTGGGGGCAGGGCAGACCCCGCTGGCGAGTCTCGGGGAAGCTTCTTCTTCCAGAGGCTGCAGTGCTGCAACTGAGGTTCCAAAGGGCCACCACTTATCTGCTTGATCCACCGACATGGACAAAACACCGCGGGTCCCTGCCTCCCGGAAGGTCTCCGGGCCGCAAAGCCGGTAACTGTTGTCTGTCACCTGCAGCTTCTTCCGGGGAGGACGAGGCTGCAGGTGAGCCCAGCCTGGCAGCCTCAGGGCCCTCGGCCCCTGGGGAGCCTGACCCCCCCCCCCCCCCCCCAGGCTCACGGCTCAGACGCCCACTACCCGGTGGTCTGGGGTCACGGCCTCGAGGGTGTCCTTGGAGGAACAGGCATCTGTCTGTCAGGAGCTGCCTGAAGCCAGAGCCCCTGTGGTGGGTTCCTCTTCTAACGTCCCCTGCCGGCTGGCCGGGGCGCTGAGGGACCAGCCTGGCCTGGCAGAGGGCTGGGGGCGCACGAGGGGGGCTCACTCGGGCAGGGAGCAGAGACTCTGCTGGGGCGTCTTCGGAGTCTTCCCAGCCCTCACCCTCCACCCCCCGCCTGGCCTGGTGCGTCCATGGGCAGGAGGGGGCTCTGGGCGTGTACAGGGCCAGGCGGGTGCCACCGCGGGGGCCACCCTTGGCGGGGTGCGGGAGCTGGCCGGGCACAGTGGCAGAGCCGGGCGCCAGTCTCGCGTGCAGGGGCGTCGGGGCGTCTGTGTGCGGCGAGCGGGCGGGAGCGGTTCTGGGCTCACGTTACAGTTTCCACTGGAAAACAGCCCCATTCTGAACATTGGCTCCGAGCTTTTAAAAAATTGCAAATATATCCAGTTTCCAGACAAGCGCTCACCAAGTGAACTTGGCTGTTTCTGCCGGGCCCACCGAGGGGGGGCGCCTGGCCCAGTCGCAGCCACAAGCTGGGGCCAGGTGGGCGGGGGCCGGCCCGCAGCTCGGGGGGGGGGGGGGGGGGGGGGGGCGCCTCGGCTGGCCTGGCCCAGGGCTACCGGGCCCCTGGCACCCAGAGGGACACAGGGCACAGGCCAAGGTTCAGGGAGTGGCCACCTCCCCACCACACAGGGCTGTGTCAGGCTGCACCCTGGGGCCAAGGTGTGTGGCCACCGACTGCCACGTGCTACTGAGCCCTGTGCGTGCCACACACTCACGTGCGGCTGGAGACGGAGCAAACCCAGGCTTCTGGGGTGTCGGGGCCACGAGGTGGCGGCTGACTCCGGGGCCCTCCCTAGCTGTCACCTGCAGTTGCGTGTGTGGAGGGGGCTCGGTGTGCACACGTGAGTGTGCAGTGTGCGTGTGTGTGTGTGTGCGTGTGTGGGTGTCCCGCGCCTCCCTCACGCTCAGGGATCAGTGTAGGGCTCAGGCCCCCAGCACCCCTAGGACATCGGGGAGACCAGGTCCCCAGGGAGGTCCCGGCCCTGGGGGCAGGCGGGCCATGCTGGGCCCTGGGGGGCAGGCCCTTTGTTGACCTTGGCACCCCTGGGGAGTGGACCGTGGGGGGCAGAAGTCTGCTGGCCTGGTCCCTGTGTGTCCCCACGCCAGGCACCCCAGGTCAGGAGTGAAAGCCCCATGCCTCCCTCTGGATGGCCTGTTTTCCTTGGAAGGCGGGGAACAGTCTCCCGTGCAGTGTGGCTGAGACACCAGAGGGCAACAGTGCCCACCCGGTGAACCCGGACCCCCACCCCAGCTGCGTCCCCAGCTTCAGAGAAGGCTCTTTCTGATGCCAGAAACACGTGGAGACTCTTCCAAGGACCAGATTCGAGCTCTTTGTGGGTGGGAGTCGGGCAGCCCAGAGTAGGAAGGGGGGTGCAGGCAGCTTGGAGCCCGGGCCCTGCCCCTGCTGCCTGCACTGCCCACACAAGACATCTCAGCTCCTGGGAGAGGCGGCCGGGGCTGGACACGGTTCAGGAAGGTGCTGACCCATCTCACAGATGGGAGAGCGGCCCCGCTCATTAGTCCTGAGGGGAGCTGATGTTTCTTCCTTTTAAACCTAGGTTCTGTCAAATGTCTCCTCTGAAGGTGGGGATCCCTCGGAGGGTTCTAGAAGCGCTGGTGACCCCAGTTCCTCCCCAAGGGTGGGGGCCACCAGCAGGGCCTTGTGGTGACCCTGGCCCTGGGGTTGTGTGCCCAGAGCCTTCCGTGCTTTTCCTCATGGGGGACACACCCCTTGTTGGTTTATGCCCAGGAAGCGCACACGGCAGGAAGAAAACAAGTCTCAGCGGCTAAGAACCCCCCTCCCCCTGCCTCCGCGCCCTGTCTGTGCTCCCAACCGCCCGCCCCTCCTCCCCACCACCTCCGCGCTCCGACCGTGCTCCCAAACCGCCCGCCCCGGGTCCTGGCTCTGAAAAGTCCTGAGGCAAATCGTTTTTCTGCCAAATTTCAGTGTGAGATGTAGAAAGGCAGAAACCAGAAGCAGTAAAAGTGAAAACAGAAAGAAAGGAGGCTTTCCTCAGAGGAGAAAGGTCTGGAAGGGGCGCGGGAGCTGGCCGCCTGCCTGGGGGACACAAAGTGGGGTCAGGAGGGCCTTGCCTGGCACATCCTGCTCACGCCCACCAGGGCCGAGGCCCCACATTAGGGCCAGTCACCCAGGGCCGGGGACACAGCCAGCAGCCCACGAAGGCCATGGCCCTCTGGGCCCGGCCCCAGGGCGGTGTCCCGTGTCCAGGAGCGGGAAGGGGTTTGCCGAGAGGGTCCTGAGGGTGCCAGCCGTACGTGTGGTGTGGCCGGCCCGTGTCCTGGAGGCCCGTGCCACGTCCGCACACGACGGCAATGGACAGCCTCACCCGGGAGGGCAGGCCAGGCAGGGAGCAGGGGCTCTGCCCTCACTGAACACGTGGTGAGGCTCGGAGTGGCTCTGTGCCTCAGTTTCCCCAGTTCTGCAGCCACGAGATTGCACTCACAATCCCTGCACTCTGCGGACTCCGATGCCCTTGGTCGTGTCTGGACCCTTCAAGGACACTGGCGTCCACGACGTCATATCACTCCTCACCCCTGGGTCAGCCCCTACCCCCCAGCAGGGGCTCCAGTCACCCCACGACGCAATACCTGTTTGGGCCACCCCCTGCCCGGTGCCTGCTGGGGAGAGCAGGGGGGGCTCTGGACGGGGGCCCTGTGTCCACTCCCTCCCCGCCTGGCTCTGCGCTGTCCCCTGGCTCCCGCCCTGTGTTCTGAGCCCCGCCCCCCCACCACCGCCCCTACACGTGGCCCCAGCCCGAAGGGCAGGGGGCTTGCTGTCTGCGGGATCCAGTCTGCACCTCAGTGTCTCTACAACGGTGAACTAACATTTCCTGAAGATGAATTTATGAGGTTCTTGAAGGTCTGTAACTCTAGTTACCGAATTCTTTCCTCCCTCCCGCGCTTCTGCGGCTGGCGATTTCCCTTCCTCGGGGAAAACGCTCCTCCTCCCCGCCCCCCCCACCCCCCAGCTGTGCACGTGAGGCCCCACACCTGCCGCCAGAGGACACAGTCCGGCCGCAGTGGCCACAGTGACAAGTGAGGGGCCCGGGGTCAGGTGCAGAGCTCCCCCCGCAGTCCCGGGAGGCAGGAGGCCCTGCTTTCCAGCCGCACGTGAGGCCATGAAGCCTGAGGAGGGGCATCTGAGACCCCCAGCCGATGGGTCCCAGGTCCTCCGCTCAGGATGTGGCCACCGTCCTGCGCTGTGAGCCCTGGTGTGGCCGCCGGGCACGCCCACCCCACAGACCACAGTGTCACTGAGTGTGTTCGGTGCCCCTGGGGTCAGGCTGGCTCTTCTAGAAGCAATTTTCCAAGTAATGTGGGTGCTGACTGTGACACACAATTACTTGCTGGAAAGATGTGGAAGCCCCCACCCCGGCCCCCTCCCGCTCTTGCAGGAATCTCCTACCGCACCTGGGATCTGCCAGTCCTGTCCAGAAGCTTCCGCCCACTCTGTGCACACCCTGAGCACGCTGGACCTGCAGCCACCCTCCCGCCAGGCTCCAGGAGGTGGCTGTGCCCGTCTCAGCCTGTCAACATCGGCTTCCTGGGCTGTGGGCGCAGCCAGCACGTGTCCACGAGCCCAGCAGGCAGCGCGGTGACTGCCAGAGACACAGGCCCTGCAGCCCCCTCCCCAGATCGCCTCCAAGGACACAGGCAGCTTCGCCCAGACTTCTAATCGCTCCGTGACAGGTTGGAAATTTGAGAGTGAAAGTCCTCGGCCACAGAGATCCCAGGGCGTCCTTGGCCGGGGCTCACGGCAGCCCCGGTGTCTCCGCAGCCGGCAGGACGACGGGCCCTTGGGCGCCTCAACCACACGGGCTCCCTCCACCCTTCGCCGGGCCCGGATGCGAGTTGGTCACTTGGACTTTCTGAAGCAAGTATCTACACGGCAGTGCCCGGACGGCCACCCGAATGTAGGTTTTCATCTGGAACGCCTGCTTTGGCCACGAGGAAACGTCGGCTGAAGCCGGATGAGAATCCTTCCGCTTGCGGGATTGGCCCGTGTGCTTAGAACATGCCCGTGGTCGTGGCTCAGGGAGGCACGTGTCGGTGTGGGCATGCCGCGTGTGCGTGTGCCAGCCTGCGTGGCACCAGCAAGGAAGGGCGGCCGTGTGACTTTTCTGTGTGTATGAAAGTTGAGGCGAAGGGCTCGGCTCGGCAAGGGGAGGAGGCCCCCCGGGGGGGGGGGGTGGCCTGACATCGGAGCACCAAGCACCTGCCCCGGGTGTGGTACCAACCTTCTCACCAGGCAGCGGGGTGCCTCCCGTGACACGGAGTTCAAGGCTGTGCGGACATCGGCCGGTGTGGCCGTCCCTCCCGGGGCCTCTCCCTGCCCTGATAGCGGGAGGATCGAGGGTCCAAGATGGGGCGCAAACAGGGACGCCCGCCCCTCCTCCTGCCGTGTGAGTCCCGGCTCCACGGGTCCCTTCAGCACAACGCAAAATCGGTGCAGACTTGGATTTACCACCGAAGAATTTTAGGAATTTCCTCCCGTCTGAGAAGAAAACTCCCTCCGTGTCACTACTGCGGGGGCGTGGAAGGCCTCTGTGCCCCTGGGGGTGCGCTTTGAGCCTCTGGCTGCACAGTGTAAGGTCCAGAGCACCAGGGCGTCCGGGCTGGGGGGGGCCTGGTGGCGGCAGAGCCCACACCCGCTCTCTCCGCGCTCGCCCTTCCCGGGCTCAGGTCCGCCTGTCTTCCTGGCAGTCCCAGTTCTGCATCACCGGCCCCAGAAAACTCACCGCTGGCCACGGGCGGGGGTCCACGGCGGCCCGGTCTCCGCTGCTCCCGGTGGCTGTAGTTGGGAAATAGTGCCGCTCGGACACCCTTTCTTTCACTTTGTAAACTAATATCCAATTTGACGCTTCATCCACGGACATTTTACAGCTAAAACCAAAGTTTCTGACAGACGGCGTCAGCTCGGTCTTAGAGGCCGGCGCCTGGAAGAGGACGGGGCGCAGCCTTCTGCAGGCTGCTGGCCTCTGAGGGGGGCGGGGGGCGGGGGAGGACGGTGAGCGCTTAGCGACCCGTCCTCCGCAAGGCAAGGTCGCGCCGGGTGCATGGGGCCACCGTGTCTGTGAGCTTGTGAGCACTGGTCCCAGATGCAGGACGCAAGAACGCAAGCCGGGGAAACCTTCTTATCTAGGGAAAAGGGACCAGAATATGTCCTTGCTTACATGAAAAAAGGAACCACAGGACTAGGGCTGTCCAGGGGAGCGGGGAGCCGGGGCCAGGTGGTCCTCTTTAAAGGCCCTCCTTTTGGGTATGTTGGACTTTAGAACCAGGTAAACGTGTGCTGCAATGGTAGAGAATTCGATGGAAAACAATCCCTACAAATGAGGGGTTTGGAGAAACTGCACCAGCTGCAGGCGGGGATCCCCGTATGGTCCCTGTCATCTGAGTCCCCACGCAGCCCAGGGGCTCCAGGACTGGCCTCAAGGCACAGGTGACGGAGCTTCTGCAACACCCAGCCAGGGATTCCCACCCCTGCCAGCTGCCCTCCCCTCCCCTCCCCTCCCCTCCAAGCTCCAACAGGCACCCTAGCCCTTCACCAGGCTTTCCCGGGCCAGGGGCTCTGGGGGCTTTGGGGTGCCCGTGACTCACAACCTGCTGTCCCTCCCCACCGGGCCTCCCTCCTGTCCTTTCCCAGCACCCAAGAGGAGCAAGGCTTCCAGGCCTACATGGGAGGGGGAGGGCGAGCAGGGTGGGGTGAGTGCACTCCCCTCAACGTGCCTGTTACAGAAGCTGCTCCGGGGCCCAGTTTGGCTAAAACCAAAACAAATGGTCCCACAAGTCTGGCGTCCTCCGAAAGATGACAGTCTGGAAGGTCCTTTCTGGCCAAATGGCAGACTGAGCCCTTGGGGAGGGGGCAGGCAAGGAGGGAGGGGGATTGAGGGCTGGGGGGTGTGGGGAGGAGGGTGCAGGAGGGGGGCAGGGATTGGGGGTGGAACTGGGGGACGGAGAGGGAAGGGGATTGGGGCCAGGGTGGACGGGGGACTCTGCCCCAAAGCTAGGCTATTTCCAGGCATAAGTGTCATCTTGTAATTAAGACAAGATGAGGAGCAAACTGAACATGGTAGATAAGCTGTCAAATATCTACTCCGCACGTATTGGGCGCACCGGGTCAAGGGGGTTGGGTACAACACGCAACCCTACTGGGCGCACCGTGTCGAGGGGGTTGGGAATAACACGCAACCCTACTGGGCGCACCGTGTCGAGGG